CTTTGAGTATACCGTCATGCCGTTCGGGCTGACCAACGCTCCCGCGGTCTTCCAGCACCTGATGAACGACGTGTTCCGGGACATGTTGGACCGGTTCGTGGTGATCTACCTGGATGACATTTTAATCTATTCCCCGAACCAGGAGAGCCACCTCTAGCATGTCCGCCAGGTCCTGCAGCGCCTGCGGGAGAATCAACTCTATGCGAAGGTGGAGAAATGTTACTTCTTCCAGACTTCCATAGAGTTCCTCAGGCACATCATCACCCCCGAGGGCATCGCGATGGACCCGCGCAAGGTGGAGGCTTTGCACAGTTGGGAACCCCCACGTCGGGTGAAGGACGTCCAGCGTATGCTGGGGTTCGCCAACTACTACCGGACCTTCATCCCGGGCTTCGCCACTCTGACCTTGCCGCTGACCCAACTCCTTCTGAAGAAGGTCCCGTTCCAGTGGGGGCCCCCGCAGCAGCAGGCCTTCGAGGTCCTCAAGCGGGCCTTCATCACGGAGCCGGTCCTCAGGCATCCCAATCCACACCGTCCGTTCGTGATCGAGATGGATGCGTCCAACGTGGCGATTGGAGCAGTTCTGCTACAGGCTCTGGTGGATGGTGGCACTCTTTTTCCCTGCGCTTATTACTCCCGGAAACTCAATCCTTCCGAGCGCAACTACACCATCTGGGAAAAGGAGTTGCTGGCTATCAAGGCCGCGTTCGAGGCTTGGCGGCATCACCTTGAGGGGGCCCGATACCAGGTGGAGGTGCGGATGGACCATCGGAACTTAGAGCACCTCACCACGGCCAGGAAGTTGAACCAGCGGCAGATCCGGTGGTTGTTGTTTTTCGCCCGGTTCAACTTCCACGTCACCTATGTTCCGAGCGGCCTCAATCAGAGGGCGGACGCGCTATCCCGCAAGCCGGAATACTTCTGCCCCAAGGACCCCCTTCCCCCTCGGACGGTGCTGCCCGCAGAGGCCTTGGCCGCGGTCCAGGAACCGGCGGACCTGCGGGCTCAGGTGCTGGAAGTGCAGCGCCGTGATGACTGGTCGCAGCAGCGGAGAGCGGAAGTTGGCCCAGCGTCCCCATGGACCTTGGAGGACAGCTTGCTGAAGCACCGGGGCCGACTGTACGTGCCTACAAGTCCGCTCCGAGCCCTCGTCATGAACCAGTGCCATGACAATCCTGCGGCGGGGCACTTCGGGTTCTTCAAGACCTTGAACCTGGTGACGCGAACTTTTTGGTGGCCTAGGGTACGGCATGACGTGCACGTTTATGTGATGTCCTGTGTGACGTGCCGACAGGCCAAATCCGCGTCTGGCCCACCTCCTGGACTCCTCCAACCGCTGCCGACACCGGAGAGACCGTGGGGTGCCATCTCCATGGATTTCCTGATGGATCTACCACTGTCCGCCACGTTCACGACCGTCCTCGTGGTGGTGGACATGCTCACGAAGATGGCCCATTTTATCCCGTGCCGCGGACTGCCATCCGCCCGCACCACGGCCCGTCTGTTCCTGCAGCACATCTTTCGCCTCCATGGCCTGCCGGACAGGGTGGTGTCGGACCGCGGGGCCCAGTTCACGGCCCGCTTCTGGAAAAGCCTGATGGCCGCGCTGGAGGTGCAGGTGTGCCTATCATCGGCGCACCATCCGGAGACTGACGGGGGCACAGAGAAGGTCATCGGCATCCTGGAGCAGTACCTCCGCTGTTTCGTCAATCAGCAGCAGGACAACTGGGCCGAGTACCTTCCCCTGGCGGAGTTCGCTTTCAACAACTCCCAACACACCTCCACCCAGATGACCCCGTTCCACGCCAATGTCGGATACCATCCACGGTTTTTCCCGTTGGCGATCCCAGATTCCCCTGTTCCCGAGACCCAGGACTTCCTCTCGGAGCTGCAGGCGGTGCAGCAACTGGTGCGACGGCAGCTGATCCGGGCGAAGGAGGACTATAAGCGGGTTGCCGACCGCTCCCGACGGGCAACGCCACCGCTGGAAGTCAGAGATCGGGTGTGGCTATCTACGAAACACCTCCCCTCGGACCGGCCGGTGAGGAAACTGGACCACCGCTTTATCGGTCCCTTCCCAGTCGAGGCGGTCATCAACCCGGTGGCCTACCGGTTGGCTCTACCACGCTCCATGCGGCTCCACCCCGTGTTTCATCGGTCCCTCCTGGTCCCTGAGGCCCCTGTGAGCCATCTCCGACGCCCGACAACGCCTGCCCCTCCGGTCGCAGCCGACGAGGACGACGCCTCGACGTACGAGGTGGACAGTATTCGGGACTCCCGTTGGCTGAAGGGGCGCTTCCAATACCTCATCGCCTGGAAGGGGTACGGGCCCGACGATTTCAGCCGGGTGGACGCGTCTTCCGTTCAGGCCCCTGACCTGGTACGGGCCTTTCACGACCAGTTTTCGTCCCACCCACATCCCGACCGTCAGACCCAGGGAAAGGGCCCTGCGGTGGGAGATAGTGTTGTGGCTCCGTCCTGTGGGTCCCTCTCATCAGAGGAGGAAGGCTCTGAACATGAAGGAGAGGAGATGGCCAGGCCTCCCTCTCCAGGACCTTCCCCTCTGGTGCGGCCTTCGGTGCCTTCCGACGGAGAGGAGATTGGCCAGGAGCCCGGTGCTTCTGGGATTGGCCAGGAGCCCGGTGCTTCTGGGATTGNCGAGTGAAACTTTTGTGACGGACAATTTTGCTGAATCTCCTGTTGCAAGCACTCCGGCCATTTATCCTGGACTATTCGTATGTTTTGGTTTTGTATTATCAGTAAAGGCTTTGGCAGGCAGCCACGAAGTTGCTGCCAAGTGTTCATTTGTATTTGATTGTGCTGAGCAGTTTTTCAGCCCTCGGCTGACTGGTTGGGGGGTGTGAGTCGGACGGGGGACAGAACAAGAGGCAAATCATCAGGCGGACTTCTTAAGCAGGGCGACGGTAGACCACTCAGAGTGGAGTCTGCACCCTGCTCTCTTCAGGGAAGCAGCAGAGAGATTCAGCCACCCAGTGCTGGACCTATTTGCCAGCCCCCAGAATGCTCAGCTCCCGAGGTTCTTCTCCTGTTTTCCATCACCGGGGCAGAGAGAACAGATGCACTTCGAGGTCATTGGCCGAAAGGACTGCTTTATGTATTCCCACCGCTTCCTCTGATACAAGCCATCATCAGAAAGATATTGCTGGAACAAGCAGAGGTAATTCTCATTGCACCACCCTGGCCAAGACAGCCGTGGTTTGCAGACCCCGTAAGTCTCTCTACATCCCCACCGTGGAGGATTCCACACGATCAAATCTCCTTCAACCAAGGGGCTCTACTTCATCCAGAGCCACAATGGCTCCAATTAGTCACCTAGCACTTGAACGGAGCATCCTAGACGAGGAGACCTTTTCTCAAAGAGTCATCAGGACAATCCAGGCCTCTAGAAGGCCTACAACTAACAGAATCTATGACTCCACGTGGAAAAATTATTGCAGCTGGTGCACAAAGCAGCAGCTGGACCCTTTTAGTATTTTGATTCCAAGGATCTTAGACTACCTAGCAGAGGGTCTGGATAGGGGGCTGGCACCCAACACAATTCGCAGAGAGGTGGCCACTTTATCCACCATTCTCACCTATGGCAAGTCTGAACCACTGGCCAGACATCCAGTGGTACGTTCCTTCATTAAGGGTGCAACAAACGACAATCCACCCTTGGTACACAGATATCCCTCCTGGGATTTGTCTAAGGTCCTATAGGCAATTACCTTACCCCCATTTGAACCGATTCGGACCTGCGCCTTACAGTACTTGACCCTTAAGGTCGCCTTTCTGGTTGCTGTTACCTCAGCTAGATGCATTTCAGAGTTGGCAGCACTATCAGTTAGAGAGGACCTGTGTATCTTCCATTCGGACAGGGTGGTCTTACGTTTGGACCCTTCCTTCATTCCCAAGGTCAATTCCCTTTTTCACAGAACACAGGAGGTAGTGCTACCAGACTTTTGCCCCGAGCCCTCCCATGAATTGGAGTGCAAGTGGCATACCTTAGACGTTTGCAGGGCCTTAAGACGATACATTAAACGGACAGCACCCTTTCGCAAATCAGAAGCCCTGTTTGTCTCCTTCCACTCTCACGCAAGAGGTCAAAGGGTCACAGCTTCCACAATCGGAAGATGGATTAGGAGGTGCATAGCAGAGGCATACAGGGGACAGTCGTTAGCAGTCCCCAGGCAAATCACTGCACACTCCACGCACAGCGCTGCCACCTCGGCTGCCTGGGCAGGCACCGATTGAGGAGATATGCAGGCGGCGACGTGGGCGTCACCTTCCCCCTTTATAAGACACTACAGACTAGATAAGTTTGCATCTGCGGAGGCCTCCTTCGGCAGAAGGGTCCTCCAAAGTGTAGTTTCAAGGAGTGGGACACAGACCCAGACTGACCCCCGCCCGTAGGGATAGGGAGGCTTTGGTATGTCCCATTGGTGAATTCTCCACTCATCATGCTGGAGAAGGGGCGTTGTCTTACCTGAACGCCTTTTCTCAGCATGACGATGGAGAATCCACTCCCATCCTTAGGGCCAGTCAGGTCCTGTGATGGGAGAAGATTGAACCAACACAAGATTACATAGCCAACAGCTGTCGCCTCAGTCGAGACTGGGAAAAGGGGGCGTCCCAGGAGGAGAGGTGGAGCAATAATTGGCTGACTTAGTCTATGGGCAGAAGACAAGCAGAACCCATTGGTGGATTCTCCATCGTCATGCTGAGAAAAAGCGTTCAGGTAAGACAACGCCCCTTCTGTAAACAGCTTAGAGAGAGCTATAAAGCACTATGAAACGTATATAAGTCTAAGTGATATTGCTATAAGCTACAAGGTTAAAGGAGCCATTTTCCCTTTTAAAATTTTATAGTCATTCTCAGTTATTTTTGTTCTCAGTTTAATATAATTAAAGTGCTTACTAATCTTTATATTGCAATAATAAATGTTTTTATAAATATTTATATTTTATATGAAAATTTTTACCATATTTTTTTAATATCAGGAAGAAAAGAAAAGAAAAAGAGAGAAGGAACATTGTGATACTGAGGGTGAAATGGATGACTTTGATCCAGGAAAAAAAGTGGAAGTTGATCCACCCTCTGATCGTCCAGTCCGGGCCTGTAGAACTCAACCCAGTAAGTAATTTAGATTTGGTATATCAGTAATGTCAGTCATGATATGCATTTACAACAGTCATGGCAAACCTATAATATGCATGTCAAAAGTGACATGCCATGATATTTTGGATGACACCAACATTCACCAACACTCAATGACTATTCTGAAAAACGCACGTCCCATTCTCACCTGATTTATAGAGACTGTGTGAGAATGGAGTGTGTACTCATGGGGCTTCTGGACCCTCCAGAAGTTGTATGCGAGGGCTATACTCTTACATAGCATCCAGAGATCCTGAAATCATGTGAGAGGGGAACATGCTTTCATGCAGTTTTGGGGATTTCAGAGGCTACAAAAGGGTATTCTCCAAAACTACTTCAAGAGTGAAGGCCTTGTACAATCAATTGCAGCCTTGGGTAGGCTAGAGCCTCTCAACAAAAAAAAGAAAGAGAACACCACCAAAAGCAAACAGTGTGTGGTAGATCCTGGGACCACAAGGCAGTGGTCAGTGATGGCATTAGGGCTGAAGTAGGGGCCCATATCTTTACTTCAGGTCCAGACTTGGCATTACTGTTAGGCTTGTCCCAACTTAGATGTTTAGGAAAGAAAGACCCTTGACTCCATTCTTTGAACTGAAAGGTTCTTTTACTAAAGTCAAGTGGTTACAGCGAAAGCAAACCTGGATCTGAGTATTCCTATGCAAAGGTTGTAATTTTCCCCTTCCTCTGGCCCTTCCCTATTGACCAGTCCATCAGCATCCAACAGTATTTCTTTTTGATTATTTGGGAATGGCTTTGAAGGTTAGCACCTTCAAGTTTCACATACTGTTCTCAGGCATCATCCTTGATCGGTCAGTTTAGTCCAGATGAATACCTCTGGTTCCTATCACCCTGGCATTTTGTGCCATGCCCTAAGATTCCCTAAGATTCCCTATTCTTGCACATTCCTGTGTCCAATTCTTACTTCCACAGAGCCGTGGTGGCGCACTGGTTAGAATGTAGTACTGCAGGCTACTTCTGCTGACTGCTGGCCGCCAGCAGTTCAGCAGTTCAATTCTTACCAGCTCAAGGTTGACTCAGCCTTCCATCCTTCCGAGGTCGGTAAAATGAGGACCCAGTTTGTTGGGGGCAATATGCTGACTCAGTAAACCGCTTAGAGAGGGCTGTAAAGCACTGGGAAGCGATATATAAGTCTAAGTGCTATTGCTATTTCTATTCCCCAGTTGCCTTTCCCCCTCCCTTGCATTTTATGCCAGGATGCCAGTGACATGAGGTATGCTGAAGGTAGCAGGTGTGACATTCTGCCTCTCTTGAAAAAGATGTTTGTCTTGTAAGGAGAGAAAAAGGGGAGAAAGATAGAATTTAATTAGGCTTATCTGGATATTTGTGGTGGAATTTACAAAGACGTTTTGGCACTCACATGTGTTAGACATCTACCATTCTGTCTCTGAGGAAGGGAAATCCTTCCACCCAATTAGATATTATCCCTCGGTGTCTACAAGAGTCCAAAATGTCTTTAACTTCAAAATGCTGTTCTCCCTCAATTAGAATGGGAGTTGGTGGTGGTTTCGTTGCAGGGCATAGGGAAGAAGTGATTGCTGGTTTCAGTAGGCTATAGTGAAAGACTGGGTGGATAGGCCTGAGGGTTTTGAATTGTTACTGAATTGATGACTCTGTTGACAGAGAAAGTGCCAATGTATTTAAGACCCAGGTTTTTTTGATGGCTGCCTAGACTGCAGATATTTGGTAGAGAGATAGACTTTATTGCCTATGTTAAAATCTTTGGTTTGGAGCATTTTTTGTTGGCATGCTTTTTATAGATTTTTCGCACTTCTTCTAGCATTTTGCGGACTACTGGCCAAGTACTTGAAGCTGTATAATCCATTCTCCTTGCGATGTAGTTTGTGGCTTGGCCTGGAGCATGGCTACAATGTACTGGCCCATAGCAACTTTAAAGGTAGTGAAGCCCTGCTACTATGTATTGCATTATTGTAGGCCACCTCTGCAAAGGGGAGGAGCTCAGCCAGTTGTCCTGTTGGTAGTTAATGTGACATCTTAGGTATTGTTTCATGATGCCATTTGTACATTCACATACATACATCCCATTTGTCTGGGGATGATGGGAAGAGCTAAGCCAAGCAATGCCAAGCAATTTTAGGAACTGTTGCCAAAATTGCAAAGTGAATTGAACTCCGCAATCTTAAATGATGAGCTCCAGGGCTCCATGGAGTATATATATATGTTGCACAAAAAGTTTGGCTAGAGAGCGTGCTGAGGGAATGTATTTGTTTGGAGAAAAGGTCTGTTATCACCCAAATCACCCGAATTTTCTGGTAGTTCTACTATAAAATCCATTTTATAGTAGAACTACTACCATGGGATTTTGCCATTGGTTGGAGGAGACCTGGCATTTTCCCCAGATATCTCTTTGCCACCGAGCAGATGGGGCACTAGCCACATATGCTTCAATGTCCTTTTTCAGGGATGGCCATCAGAATTGGCGTTTTACAAGGTGTAAAGTTTTCACAAAACCAAAATGTCCCCCAGTTTTTGAATCCAGGCTTTTTTTTTAAAAGACCACGGTTCATTGGCTTTCCAGGATGTATAGTTTGGTATCCACCCAAGCTAAGCCATCACTCAAGGTGCAGTCAGATTTGTGAGTTTTGAACTACTCATCTTTTTCTAATGCTGCTTTTAGCATGGCGAGTAGTTTATCTGAGATTTGCCATGTGGTTCCCCCCCCCCCCGCCCTGGGGATGGCAGTAGGTGCTAGTTGTTGGGAGGAGATAACCACTTTAATGAACAGAACTTTAGAGCTGTTAAATTAGGGTCGTCTCGAAAGACATCGGCTAAAAAGTTCTTCCTGCCTGGGAAATATCATAGGATGAAGTTGAAGCTATTGAAATACTGAGCCCGACATATCTGCTTTGGGGATAGCCTCATAGGAGTTTGTAAGGCTTTTACGTTTTTATGGTCTGTCCACACCTCAAAAGAGATTTTACTTTCTTCTAACACTCCAGGTTAAGAGTATACTATAGCGTACTACATATGCTTCTTTTTCCCAAACCATCCACCTCCGCTCTGCCTCAGATTGTTTCTTGGAGGTATAAGTGGATGGCTTCAGAACCACTTGATCAGTTTTCTGAAGCAATATGACACCCACCGTCATGTAAGACAAACAGGGCGTTCTACATTTTTGGAATTCATGTTTGGAGAATTTAGCATAGAGTTGGATAGCACAAAGTTTCTTTAGCACTGCTCTGACTAGTTTTACATGCTGTACCATAATCTCAATATAAATCAAAATGTTATCTAGGTAAACTAAGACCCCCTTAAATAGATGTTCACGCAGCAACAGCAACTAGGGAACTAAGGAGAAGAAAATTGCGTGTCTTCTTAGAGGGGTGTTTTATTAAATTTTTAGGGGGTTCGGGGTTGGCCCGAGGGGACTTAGGGGAGCCCTCTCTGAGGCCAAGGCCAGTCCTGTCTGGGGGGCGTGGAATGGTGAGGGAGGAGACTGGGGGGTTAACAGAGGGTGGTGTGATAGGTACGGTCAGTGGGAGGGGCAGATATGGCGGGAGCAGAGGACCATATCGGGTTTTGGGAGCACGCACACGCTGCTTACAAGCTTGTGGATGCTCCGGTCCTCAGGGCTCTACTCGACTTCCAGGGACTTCAGATCCTTGGGCCCGGGACCATCGGCTGAT